TGTATTTTTTGCATTGACGTATTTTTTGTATAGTTAGACTTAGCAGTAGCGGTTTATGCGCAAGGCGCTACTGCTATTTAGATTAGCTGTATCGCGTTTTGGCAAACGCGCTACAACTATCCCTACCTTATCCCCACGCGCACGACCGGCCCTCACTCACACTCTCACTCTCGCCCCCCGTGCCGATAACCGTCGTCGTGCGTCGCCGCCGCCGCCTTCGTCCGTCCGCCGCCGAGGTACTCCCCTCCTTCCGTCCCTCCTCCCTGCTCCTCGCACATCCTCCCTCCGCCTGCGGCCGCCCCTCCCTCCTCCGCCGCCGCCCTCCTCCCTCCGCCTGCGGCCGCCCCTCCTCCCTCCTCCGCCGGCAGCCCTCCTCCCACCGCCCTCGACCTTGCCGCCCCTAGCTACCTCTCCGTCGCCCCCACCCCCTGCCACTAGTTAGTACTAGATTTAGTAGTTGTAGATGTTAATTTAGGGTTCATAGCTAGTACTAGATGTTGCTTAGTTAGTACTAGATTTTTAGTAGTAGTAGATGTTAATTACTAGTAGTGATGGTACTAGTTAACTAGATGTTGCTTAGTTAGTACTAGATTTTTAGTTGTAGTTGAACTAGTTTACTGAGTAAATTAATATAACTAGTTGAACTACTTTATTTTTAGAAAGAACTAGTTTTTTTCTATTTATAGTAAGTTTTTATTTAGTAAGAACTAGTTGAATTAATAAAACTAGTTGAACATGTCATATTTGTTGTTATTTTTTACTTTAAGCAATTATTCGGGATGTATTAGTGATAACTTATATGGTTTCTCAGGTGACCACCGTCGTCCCCGTCACCGACCCCCTCCGACATCCCCGCCGTCGTCCCCATCACCGACCCCCTCCGACATCCCCGCCGTTGTCCCAGTCACCGACCCCCTCCGACATCGAGGTGAGACCAGCCATATATCCTTGTATACCTTGTGTTGTTGCTCAAATAGGATATGTGGTTGCCCAAGTGTCCGTTCATGTTCAGTTTACATCTCCGAGTGGCCTATGTTTTGCCGGAGTGTTGATTAATTTCTGTTCCGGCAAATTTCAGTCGCTCGATATGTCCTTTTTTAGCAAAGGTCATGCCGGATTTTTTCGTGAATTCTGGCATGACTTGTGCTAGTATATGTACAAGTTTAATCTTTGAATTATGAACGTAAGAAATGTCGTACTCGGACGACGACAGTCTCCCGGGGGAGTGTATCTGGTGCCACGACGATCGAGGTATGTGCGACAGGTTCGTTCAGCTGGACGAAGATCAACGCTTCATCATTAAGCTCGAGGAGACCTTCGATTGTGAAACGGTACGCAACAACGACAAGTGTTTTTTTCGTAATTAAGCATGACTTCAACTATTTTAACGTCTAATTTTCATATTTTACAATTCGACTAGCTTATCCCATGCCATGCAAGACGCTATGTCTTGGAGAGGATGGGTTTTGAAGACCATGGAAATTTCGAAACAAAGAAAATACACCTAAGGACCCATCATGATATGGATTTTGAAGTAAATCTGTGCAATGCTCAGAGCGTAACCCATTTTGGTTGCCAAAATTGGGAATCACTTTGCAAAATGTATGGTTTTTATGAGGGTATGATTGTCACCATGGATCTTGGTGATCCTGACATCGAGCAAGACAATATGGACATTTGGGTCCTTGTTGATACGCTTCCGATTGTTCCGCTATGTGAGTTTCTCAAACATAGTTATTAACTAATTTATATTGTTTATTTCAAAATTGTTGATAGCTTATTTCCATTGACAGCTTATTTAAAACTGCTCTGATATTATCATTGTTTGAGAACTCTCTTCCAAGCTGATTGTGCTTTTGAATCCAAATGTCTAATCGTTGTCTTGAAGATAGCATGCTGCTAGTGGTAACAAGTGCTAGCGGGATGCCATGACACATGTCAACTATAGAAGTAGCAACTGCCTCAAGCTCCTCGGGGCACATGTAGCTGTTGTTTCTGTAAAAGCCCTTCTGCAGAGAAGGTCAAATGCATCAGGCTGACTCAACTGTTCGAGCCGAAGGCGGCTGAAGGCGACCGATGGGAGAAGAAATCATGGCAACATGTTCGTTCCGTGTTGTGATGACGATGCATCTTCCTTGGAAATTCTGGAGAGCATCATGTATATGGAAGTATACCTCTTGCTCCCTGACATCATCCAGTACAATAAAACATTTTTTTTCAAGTCTTTGGTGTATTTCCTTCTTCAATCCATACATGTACGTTTTGTCAGTGCCTCCTGCCAATGGCATCAACACTTCAACAGTATAAGTTTGTGGCACAGTGCTCCATGCATGTGCATCGAAATTGTTTTTTTCATGTCTATAAATATTTTAAACCAGGGTAGATTTTCCCAACCCACCCATGCCCGATAGTGTTATCACAGTGCTCTCGGGCTCTTTGGAGTAAAACCATTCGGTCAGCAATATAATGTTGTCTTCAATTCCTACTAGATATTCATCTTTGACAAATTCTGAGACATTGAGGCATCTTAGTAAGTTGGTTACGGACAAGCAGGGAGGGTTGCAACCATATATCTTTCTTGTTCATAACCAACAGAATCTCCTTCTCTACCTCAACTACATCATCCAAAATTTAACTGAAAAGTTTGACATAGTCTGGTTCTTTGAGGAAAACTTTTTTCAGGAATCCTTCTTTCTGATGTTGAAGAATATGGTATGATAATTTGTCGATTACATCTTCAACGTGATAGGCCAGTTTGCGGGCCTGTCCAATACAACTCTTGGCAACTTCGTCCGTGCCGTACACTGTGCCTATCTTCCCTATAACACCTCCTGACATTAACAGTGGCTCACTTATTTGCTCGACCTTCAACGGAAATTCCTTCCTATTAGTAACTTCATCAGACAGTTTATATATGCTAGCCCCAGCAGCCTCAACCTTTAAAATTGAACCAATCTTCATCACAGCACGGACTACAACCATGGTCACATCTTCTGCACAACAAAGGCAAGGATCATATTACATGGTGGAATAAGAAATTTCATTCAAACTGAGCTCTGGTAGTCATATATGAAGAGCAATATTCTCATATAGCCCCATAGTATTTCACAGTTCCCAGTACCCCTTATGTTCCAAAATGTAAGATGTATTCTATAGACAAGGCTTTGACCAACAAGTAACAAATATTTGAAACAAAAATCTTAATCATAAGTCCACGAGAAGGACGATATATAAGTTTCGTCGTGCCGTTCCCATAGAGATATGTCCTCGAGGAGAACATATAAAACTTTCCTCCACTTGTCTATCCACTAAATTTAGTGTGTACGCCGAGAGCCGAACTCGGCAAAATGTGGAGCATGGTAAAGACAGGCCATTGCCAAGAGACAAGTAAAAGGAACACGGCAAACGAAAGAAACTCAGGAACGGTGTCATGTGTCGAGACCCAAACAGTAAGCTCACGGCAATCAGGTGCCACGTGGCAAGTCCGTCAGTGGTTGACAACTTTGTGATGGTGGGTAAACTTTGTCGAGAGGCCGTACGTTGGTACTCGGCAAAGCGTCGTTTCATTGCCTAATTCAAGCATTACCTGGATCTCAGAAACCAAGAAGATACCAGATGAACAGAACGCTAAAGCAGTATATCTTATATTACTATTCACATCCATTTAGTTACTTCAAGTATATCTCACAACTATTCACATCCATTTAGTTCCTTCATTGATTCTTGTTGATGAAGATGGTTATTCGCAACTCATGTTGGATGGAGCGCAACCACCAGCGCATCAAAAAGCTGTCGAGCCCGCTACAGGAGACAGACGCGAAAGTCTTAACTTGTGCGCTGTCGCTTCTGATTGTTCTGTCGCGGTGGCTCACGAGCAATATCGTGCTATCCGGCTTCCTCCTGCGCTAGCATGAAATGGATGATATTGGGCCTTTGCATGCCCATCATTGGCTGGATTGCCACGAGGGTGATCTACACTTTTGCAAGGAGTTTGCGGTGCAAGTGCAAGCTGCTCAGACGAAACAATGGCATAGCTAAACGAAGAACGGGAGGGGGGCGCCCCAGCCTTGGATAAAATAGTCACTGTTATCCTAGCATGTAATCATTATTGTGAGACCAGTTAGTTTTCTCAAGAAAAGAGTAATCTTTTTTCACTTTCGGAGAAAAAAATAGTTGTTTTTATTTTGCAGGAAGCTAGATTCATGTCAACGAGAAAAAATAAAATAAAAGGACTTGCATTTATTTAAGCCAAATCAACACAACACAAGGAAACAAACCAGGATACAAATTGGACTGATCGACCAATAGCAAAGCTCGACTGCTTTTGCTCACCTAAGCTAGCTCCGTTCAAAACATACGACACACCATACACAAAGGATTGAAGGAACAAAGGAAACAGCCAATCGACGACGAGGACAGACGCATGCACCATTAATGGGAACCCGAAGAAAAGAACGTAGATGAGGGGCCATTCCATTCCAGCGGTGAGCTAGCTCAGGTCCTGATAGTGGTGCCGACCGCTACGCACTTGCCGCCGCCGGTAGGGGGGTTGTCTTTCTTGAATTCGAACCCGGCGTCGCACTTGACTACGTTGGTTACAACGCACTCGCCGCCGCCGCGAATGGAGGGATCTTCCTTGAATTCGAACCCAGCGCCGCACTTGAGTAAGGCGGCTACGACGCATCCGCCGCCGCAGCTCATGGAGGGATCTTTCTTGAATTCGAAACCGGCGCCGCAGTTGACTACGGCGGCTACGACGCACCCGCCACCGCCGCTAATGGATGGATCTTCCTTGAATTCGAACC